TTCTAAAATGATCCAGCAAACAGAACATTGTCAACGCGACGATTGAAAAAGTTCTGTTTGGTGATCACGAAACTGTATCGAAACACCTTAATCACACGGAGAAGGAAAATATCTCATTATTTAATCATAGTGGCCGGACATTGAAGCCAGCACGAGGATAAGAATGAGGATGTGGTGACCTAATAAATGGGTACATTTTTATTAGTGATTTACTGTCCTTATTATTTTTAGTTTAAAAGTACTTTGCGATTTGTATTAAGAGACTGAAGCCAGTGTGAGTGGCCATACCCTCTGCCACCAACGGACTTAATGCAGAGAAAAATATCACGAATATGGTCACAACACTGAAAAATACATTGCTGGCTCTAAATTGTGTGCATTATTACTTATTCATTTTGGTCTTAACCCTTGCCTCTCAACCAAAGATATATGCAAAATCCTTCGTCTGAAAAATTACTGGTGCACAACGTCAATAACGTTTGTAGACGTCCTCCACGAAAACTGTAATTCAAAATTAAAGGTTTCTATAAATTTTGTGCCAATGTGGAATAGACAGGGTAAGTTATTTTGTAATAAGTTATTTATCACTAAATTTATGGCGTAACACGAATCTTAATCAAAAATTCCCGATGTGTAAGGGGAAGTTTTAATGATGTTGCTAAAAAGTGTTTTAATTTGTTTCCTGTATAGGAGATCGTCTTGTCAAGTTTTTGATGGAATACTATTCTAAGGGCGAGTGGTCGCTAATCTTGCCCTTTCCTTGGATGGAGGGTGATCGATTTCATATTGACAAACTATACACCTCAGTAACCGTTACTGAGAAAGGAAGCGCAGAAGAGACTGAAGTGGCAAACCTGTTCTCATCAAGTGAAACGGCCGTTCGACGTATTCTGATAGAAGGAGAAGCAGGTATTGGCAAATCAACATACTGTAAGAAGATTGCATATGACTGGAGTAAGGGTAAGCTAGTAATCTCCGATGTTGACCTAGTATTGGTTATCAAGTGCTGCGACTTGAAAGATGGTGACTTATGGCAGGCCATCAAGGAACAGAATTTACCTGAAGATCTTCATGGGACTGAAGAGGCCAAAGAAGTGTTCGACTACATTAGGGTCAACCAGCGGAAAATATTACTTATGCTTGATGGATTTGATGAAATTCCTGCAACTACAGATACCACAATGAAACAGAGCATCAAGGAGTTAGTTACTGGCAAGCTGCTATCCAACGCTCGTGTCATCCTTACTTCTCGCCCAGAAAGGTGTTCAGATATACGTAAATCTTTTGACAAAAAGCTAGAAATGACAGGTTTCAGTTGGAACGACTCCTGTTACTTTATTAATCATTTTTGTTCCTCATCATACAACGCAGCTGAAACTATTTCATCTCTTGAAAAGACTGCAGCTATCAGAGAACTAACTCGCTGCCCCTTAAATGCTTCTTTCTTGTGCCTCATACTTGAAGAGAAGGAAGATGATGGCGACTTCTTTAAGTCGCTTGACATTGGCTCCCTTTACCGTGAAATGGTTTTCTGTGTGATAAAGAGATACTGCGTTGAGAAAAAAGGACAGGAAGTCCAAGATGATACCTTGCTGGACAAATACCATGAGCCACAAGTTGCGTTGGGAAAGATAGCATTTAACCTGATGAAAGACAACCTTACCAAATTTGGAGAAGAAAAGTTGCCTGACGATTCGAAGCAWATTCTGARAGACATTGGCTTTCTWATCGAGWACARGWMWTTGAACAWAWYAARGCCAAMATCTAYATAYTKCTTCTCTCACTCGTCAATCAAGGAATACTTTGCTGCATTATATGTGGCAGAATGTTTGAGAAATGACAACATTGACACTTTGACATCCATCCACAAGTTCATAGAAAACCCGTCATCAACAGGTATAGGGAACTCTAACCATGTCCAGAATGTTTACTACAGTTTACAGAGATTCAATCTGGCCAAGATGGTGAACCTTTCCAGTAGTGAAGATCATATTAAGCTTATCAATGATCTTGCATCTCATTTACCTAATGACATTGATGTATCTCAAGCTGAGCATATCAGGTTTGACTTTATTTTCTCTTTCATTTGTGAAATTCTTGGAAATTGTAAGGAAGATGAGGTTACTAAGGTTATAACTGAGATCGCAATTCCAGATTTGCCGCTTGTATTATATTTATACAATGGTAGACAAGCATTAGATGGTTTTATTTCTCTTTTGTCACAATCTCAAGAAGAATCATCTAAAGTAAGATTTAAGATCCTACGTCTAGAGGGTTTGCAAGCTGTTTCATTCTCTAATCCGATAGAAAATTTCATTGCATTCTCACGATTTCTTGGGAAACACAGATTTTTGAAGACAATATATTTGTCTTTCTTTTCAAATTTGACGGATTTTACACTTTTCTTAGAAAAGTTTCAAAGCACCAGTGTAGAAAATCTTAGCTTGCGCTATATTCCCCAAAACATTAGTAGCAAGGATTCTAATATGTTTACGATTCTGAGAAGTCTTCGTAACTTGACTCTCCTTGACCTCTCATACAGCTCAATAACAAATGATCCGCAGTTCTTTAATTCAGAGGGTCAATCGACTAGTACCACTGCACTGCGGGTTCTTAAATTATGCCATTGCAATCTAAGTTTACGCAATGTTCGTTTCATTCTTGGTTCTTTGCGCACGATTACCACTCTTACAGAACTTGATTTGTCAGGAAATGACTTCAGTGATGGTATCTCTTTTGAACTAAAGGGTAGTACAATACAAGTACTTGGGATGAAGACTTGCAATCTAAGATCAAACAACCTTGATTCTATTTTTTGTTCTTTGCGCATGAGTGCCATTCTAAAAGAACTTGATTTGTCTGGAAATGACTTTAGTGATGGTATCTCTTTTGATCTAAAGGGTAGTACAATACAAGTACTTGGGATGAAGACTTGCAATCTAAGATCAAACAACCTTGATTCTATTTTTTGTTCTTTGCGCACGAGTACCACTCTAAAAGAACTTGATTTGTCTGGAAATGACTTCAGTGGTGGTCTAGGCCGGTTTGATCTAGGGCCGGGTTGTTCAATCGATTTTTTTTCAGTCAGTTTTCTTTCTTTGTACACGAATCCTACTCTAAAAGAACTTGTTTTGTCTGGAAATGACAGTGATGGTATTTCTTTCGATCTAGGGGGTAGTACAGTACAAGTACTTAGGATGAGTAATTGCAATCTAAGATCACGTGATGATGATCGCAGTCTTCGTTTTTTGCGCAATAGTACCACTCTAAAAGAACTTGATTTGACTGGAAATGCATTAGATGCCGAGGCCCAATCGTTAATTCAAAGTTATGTTCCTGATGCCAAGATCCTTTTTTAGATTCATAACCAACTTAGCATTTCTTCTGTTCATTTATCGTTCAATTTATGGGTTCAATTCCTGGATCCATGAATCAGCACGTTCGTCAGTTCGTTGATTTGCTCACTTGTCATAAATAATAATAATAATAATAATAATAATAATAATAATAATAATAACAATAACAATAATAATAACGTTTAATGCGCATTTAAAGAATCTCAACGCACTTACAATAAAGAAGTAAATATATTTTAATAAATACTTTTATATAAGAGAGAATGGGATAAGAAATATTTACAATTGCTTTGATTAGGGTAATCGTTAGTTTTATGACTAAATTTTTAGCAAAATGTAATCTTAAATGCATTATTATTGCAGGAGATTTTAAAATGGATATAACTAAGTGGTAACTGAACTTTGTTTCATGCAATTTTGGTCTAAAATCAAACTTTTAATTAACAAATTGCACTCCCACTATGCACCAGCTGCGAGGTTCTATCCCTGGAGCGTTTTGAAAACCTTCATTACATACCTTGCAATCTGTGCGTTATCCAGTGTCCTCGTCTTCCCAGATACTCGAATGTCCTCCCGAGAGGAACACTGCACGAGTCGAGTGTGGTGAAGATTGGTGAGGAAGAGGAGGAAGTAAGATCGATGACTTCGAGGTGATTCTTGTCACTAGACCAACTCAAGCAGTCTTTATCTGGAAAAAAGTTTCGATATATATTAGCGACATTGAAAAAGCAAAGGGCTTATTTTCATTACAAAAAGACGACGCTAAAATTGTGATATGGATAATATTCAACTGTGTTCGCAGATTAGGAGTGATACGGTGCCATGACGAGTGCCTTAACAATTAACAGTTACTTTAATGTCTAGTCAAGATTTTCTAAAAAGTTCCGTCGCTCCTTTTATTAGTTGAACAGGCCAACTTTGTAGCACACAAAGATTAACTGTAAAATGATAGTGGCCAAGTCTATGTCCTGTCAGCTACACCTACAAGATAATCCGCATTGTAATTTCCTAAAATAATCTCAGAGCTTCTTTGTTTTAAAATATAACACCTTTAATTTATTCCTCATAAAAAAGGAATGAAAGGCGTTCTCTTTTAAAGAACGAGAGCCAACAGGAAAAGATGTTGTTGACACTTTAATCACGCAATGAATGGTGTGATGTTTATAAGTACAACACAGAATTGTTGTCGATACTAATATTATAATCTATTTTTATTGCTTAAAAAAGCGATGGAAATGCACTTCACTTTGGGCAGTAATTGATTTAGGCATTTCTAATACACTCAGCTAAACAAACTTGAAAATAATCTTAGATAAACACGCTTCACATCCTTTAATTCTATCAAAAATGAAAGTATCATTCCTAATTTGTCTATTAAGAAATGTCGAACCCTTAAAGGTAGGACTGAAGAACGACAATCAAAGTCCAGTGACATTTAAACGTTTGTTCCTATTTTGTTGCAAAAATGTAACATTTTCACGTTGAATGAATAAATGCGCGTTTTCACGTTGTGTGCGCGTACCGAACGTGAACTTACACGTCTCGAAGTAAAAACTACTGGTTCAAATGCACTAAAAGAGTTTCAGTACACTTACCATTTATCAAACTAGAAAAGGAATCACACCTCTGTTTGTAGATAAAGAACGTGGATGCATTCGTAGGACACTGACAGACGCCTTCACCAAAGCAAGTTGCTTGGTTGAACTTGGCACATAAGCTACAATTACTCACTGAAAAATTGTCCTGCAGTGAGCGAGTTACACTCATTTCTATGGCAAAACAAGGCTGCGAAACGACTATGAATACTACTAAGACCAGTACCAAGAACATGTTCTTATTCTAAAAACATTTGCGAAACCTGTAGCGATCTTCTAGTCTTCTAGTGAATGGTTTGATTCAATTTCCGAAAAATACCAGTCAAAATTCTAAGAAGTTGGCTTATGACCTTATTTACTATATCTGTAAGTTAATCCCATGGATGATGTCTTATGTCACCTATGTGCCCATTGGTGGTTTTATATCACGTGACAAGGAGCTAGAGTCGGCAAACAGGAATCCGCGAGTCCGTTGCCTTGGCAACGTCTAAGTGAAAGAAAATACCCGAATGTCAAATTTTTGATTTCAGGCCATTTCGTTGATACTTTATGGAGAAGAAGACAATTTACTGTCATGATGCTTGATGCTACGTGGCTTCATCTACTTCCGCCATCGATAAATGATAGCCGATTCTAGAATGTTAGTGTCTAGTAAATGTGCAGCGCACCACGGTAAAGAGTAAGGGTTTTAGAGGGTGTCACAAGTAACATTTTTCCTGTCATAAATATACACAGCTATTGTCAAAAAGTTTTTCCTGTGAAAAAGACTTAGAGACCAAAAGAAATATCACGTGATGGTTTGTTTATTCGTCTCAAACGATATACTTTCTGGTTATAAACTTTACGAGTATAACAATGAACAATAGGATAATCATTATGAAGTCTATTTTTGTATATAATAATTGCTGGAATCGAGCATTTAGAGCAAGTATATTCCCTTGACATTTGTTATAGTGGAAATGTAATTTTCAGTGGAAAACGTTCATTACAATGACTGTACCACGCAATCGTTGCGCGCATCTTTTGATAACCGCATAAAAAGTCCCACTTCTTTGCCTGATAGCATCACCCTATTGACAGCAAAGTAACGACCTGTTCATAGGAGGAAATCTGTTGTGCACCGGTTACTATGGGTAACCTAGGATGCTTACCATTTAAACCAATCCATCCGGTTGGAAATTCGTTCGCTAATGGTAAGAAAAGAGCGGGAAACTTTGACTTTCGATAAATGGTACACGCGTCTACTGAAAGAACCGAAAAATGCGGGAAAAGTGGATTATCTCAATTGTAAGACCGAGTTTTACGGAACTTTCTGATCGCAATGATGCATACCATTTGTTTTCCAACCGGAATTTCCGGTCTTTCCGGGTAAATGGTAAGCACCCCTGGCCTGTTCATAAAAGGTTACTAAAGGTACCCTGATACGTGAAAGTAAAATCGGAATTTTGCAGAGCTGGACACACGATATAATTTCAATGCTTCCATCAAGATGTTCTACGCAACGGTTGGTTGTACCGTATCTCCAGCCCTCAGCAAACATTCCAGGGGCGTCGGAAACAAAAAATTGCGGCTCTTTAGAATTTATAGGGTAATTTTAAAGTTTTTGAAATAAAACGTGTAACATAACGTTTTGGGGGCGCAAAGTCAATTTGCTAAAATACACAAAAGTTGTTCTCTCTCAACAAATATCAATATAAGTCAAACACCTTCTTTCTACATACAATAACTGTCACTTTTAAATAAAAAACACTAATGACAATATTAATATCTAAATCCAGCGTGTCGGACTCAAAAAAAACAAAACAAAACAAAACAAAACAAAACAAAACAAAAAAACTCCTACATTAGAAAATATAAAGCAACTTTCCAACGTCCACAAAGGTGCCGTAATACGGGCAACACTCTTAAAAAACGCCGATTACTACCAGCCCGACCGCAACAAATTCTTTTTGAAGTTCTCTTTAACCTTTGCAACAAAGAAATGGTATAAGAATAAGGGCAATATTCAATCTGCGATCTATAACAAAAAATATTGACACAAGCCTTGTGCAATACATCCCTTCTTTGTTCAAAGTAGAATTTCTCTTAACTCTGCAAAGAGATGTTTTACAATTTGTAGCGCCAAGATCAGCGACACGCTCCAAGATTTTGTTGCTCGCATTGCCGCACCTATAGACATGTAATTCAAATGTAACAGGCTAAAATACCGGCTTCAGCCAAAGAGCTTTGCACATACTGAGGCATTAAAGGCTTCAAATTTCTGTGCCTTTCTACCTTAAAGTAAAGTTAAAATTTTCCTACAAAAATCACTTTCAAAATTATTCTAGATATGAGATCGAGACGCTAGTGAGTTTAAATCATAATTCTATAGGATAGAAATACGCGGTATAAATGAACGTCGAGTGACCCTAGAGCTAGACGCAAATTTTTCGTCTTTCGTCAAAACTTTTCCGGGGGAGGGGGGGGGGGGGTCAACAAAAAGTTGAGTTATCCTTAGCAACACGTTCACCCCCCCCCCCCGTAAAAACTGGGATCATGATTTTCCAAGTGATATATCTAACATTTCAAAGCTTTTCTGGATACATATTAACCTAATATACAATAAATCGCCTATACTAAGAAATATAAAGATATATGAAGTTAAATAATCTATTATTGCTTGGATGTGCGAACTTTCGGGTGCCTAAAATCTTTAAGTAATGCAAACTTTTATCAGCGATTTTTACTATAACCTCATGGAGGCACTAACAACACTAGGATCTAAAAATATAAGTGGGTATACGAAGACCAAAGTAAGACGGACAATATATAGTATTTTCAAAAGCAGATATCGACCAGTTCGAAGGTTCAGCACTCGGCAATACCGAAACGTTCGTCCAATCAGAATGCCCGGAATTGTTTTTACAGCCATTCGAAACCTGCTCTATAATTAAAAAGGCAGCTAGTTTTCAAAAGTTGTGGGTAATCTCACACTAAAAAGAAAAAAGATTCTTTTCCTTAACCTGGAACAGTTTATAAAATTTCTAGAAAGAGACATAGGTCAGCCCATGATTTCGATGCATTATACATACAATGTGAACCAGAGGTTTCCTCATTCAGTTATTGTTTTTCCCAAGAGATGTAGGAGATAGGAAAACATTGCGTAGAATGCTAAAACGGTACAGTGAACACGATTGATTTAGGAAAACTACAGATGCAGGATCGTGACCCATAATGCACTTGGACTATGGAACGACTTGACAGAATATCTCTTGGTAGCTCGCCAAACAATGTAGGTCAGTTATCAGGAACAGTTGATATAATATTGGGACTAGTATTCAACAGTAATGACTTTTGTCTTCAAATACTCATTCAATGCTTCCATTCCTGTTGAACAGAAAAATCAAGAAGTTGTCAAACAGAAAGGAAAGGCAAAAATTGAAAATAATGCAGTAGCAATATTTCTTGTTTCTTGTCTTCAAGGTTATTTCTTGTGTTGGGACGTAATGTTGGAGTTTCTTTATTTCTTGCGCAGTGAAAAACAGCAAAGGGTAACATTCCTTGCAATGACAGTACAGTCGACAACAGACTAACCAAAACAGGGACACAATAATGTTCAACATATCACGCATTTTTTGACCCTTACGAGTTATAAGATTACTGCAGTTTTTATTTTGCAGTAGGACAAAGTTTAGTGGACGTCAATCAAAGCGTTTCCAAGGCATTCCATATAGGCACGTGCCCTTGAAAAATTTATGCTTTCCTACAATGTGATGGAAACACTTTGATTGATGTCCACCAAAACCTTTTTGTCGCGACTGCAAATTGTACGATTTCGCGCGTGTAATTAGGAAGTGCTGTAATGAGGGTTGTATGCTGCGTTTCCTGCATAAGAAGGGAACTAATTTGCAGCGAGTATCAGCGAAACTTACCAAGATCTTTTCCAAATCCAGACTGCTTGCATCCACCGAATGGTGCAGCTACGTCGGTTTTGTTGTACGTGTTGACGAAACAAGTACCAGCCTGTAGCCCGTCAGCCACTCGAAGCGCCTGAAAAAACACATTTTAGTTTGTGAAAGGTTAAATTTTTGGATGTTTTTGGATGTAAGGGAGACACGACACGGTAGCACTAGAGAATCGGCGTCATCAGACCAGCCAATTATTGAACAAAAGAATACAATATATTTTTTATATTGTAACTTGTGTTCACTGTGAACAAAGGTTGTCCAGCCTTAGTGATGCATTGACATAACATAAGAACCAAATACCTTGCTGATGTCCTTCGTGAAGACACCAGAAGCAAGTCCGTATTCTGTGTCGTTGGCACTCTCCAGGACCCCTTCTACATCACTATAGAATACAAGAAAAGATGGTAAGCAATAGAAAACAAATTATAGTTTTAATATGAGAGGAAGCAGGATCACAAATGAAATGCGGATTTTTTTTTTTTGCAATATGTGAATTAACCACAACCAAAAAAAAAGCTGTAAAACAACTGCATATGTAATACGAGGAAAGTGAACCTGCAAATTTGCGCAACGATACATGACTGGCTTCCGTGATGCTGGTGCATAACAGGGATCCCCTTCTAGTCCTCCTACAGTATCATGCTATTCTTAGATTGCACGTTACGTCATCGCGGCCATGTTGATGCCATTTAACAAAAGATTTCTCATTAGCATCCATTGTTAAATGCACCACAATGGCCGCCATGTTTTTGTCTTTTGACTCTCTTGGGAATACTTGCAATCAATCAATACGAGCTCCACACTATCTAATAAGCTGTTGTATCGCAGCATGGGACATTCCCAACAGAGCTAGACTCTAGGCAAACTAGGTGAAAGCCCAAAGATCGAATTGAAATTTAGAAGTTGATTCTTGCAGAGGGAGGAAAAGTGCAGAACCCGGAGAAAAACCCTAAAAGCACCGGAGAGAACCAGCCAGAAACTTTACTCACATACGACGCCGACTCCAGCGGGACTAAAAGTGGTAACACAACATGCAGAATAATAGTTTACTCACCCGTCATCAAACTTAGAGATGATAATAATAGGACCAAAGGATTCTTCCTTAGCAATAAACATGTCATCTTCAACATCAGTAAATATTGCGGGCTCGAAGAAATACCCTGCATGAAAAACAAGGGACGATCGTTATAAAGCTAAGTGTTTAGTTCAATTCTGGCATGTCACACGAGTGGGGGGATGATGATAAGGTCTAAAAGTACAAGAAATAAATTCTCTAAACAAGTCATTCTTGGAAATCACTGGCGTGAATATGAGTTAATATCATCAGCCTTTATTTAAAGCTGATCCATAATTGCAGGATAAATAAAGACTATCGCATGGATAAATAAAAAATATTGTATTGTATTGCTAAGGTAAAAGAAGACACCCTAGAGGCCCTAGCCCTCTAACGACTATGTACAGAGCAACATCAGTTTAGGACACTTTATCAAACATGATAAATGACAGCAAAGAAGACGTAATTTTGCGCTTATTGTGACGGTAAGACAAAGGCGTAAGATTTGACAAACTAAATGACTCACAGATATTTAAAGGCTACAAAATTTACCAGGTCTATCGAGGTGCTTTCCACCATACACAAGTTTAGCTCCCTCATCTACACCTTTCTTGACATAATCAATCAACGACTGCAAATGAGCCCTGGAAAAAGAACAAGAGGAATATTTAAAAAAATCAATCACGGATGCCAAGGGATTAATGATAACAGCAAGTTACGTTGCAAATGATAAAAGAGGATTTACGCAACCCCCTATTCAACTATCTAATGGTCAGTCCTTTAGATGAACAGCACAAGCTTGTTTGTACATTAATCCCTTAGCTTATAAAGACAACTGAGCACACATAGGATACATGGCCGGATACATAGCTATATCAGGTGTTAGGTGTTGCAACCCTAACAAGACATACTTGTGGTTCTGAGGTCCATGATCTGTAGCTCTGTCCAGAGGATCACCAATCTTTAATTTCTTGACCTCTTCAATCTATAATTAAAAAAAGTTAAAATATTACAACATGAAGAATCTTCTAAAATAAAGGACTAATAATTGTACGGCATGTAACAGTTCACTTAAGCAACTAAGTCTAAGTAGATTTTGTTTAATTACCAGTCTTGCGACATATTCATCGTGGATGGACTCTTCTACAAACAGCCGACCTGCAAGCAAACAGAATCAGTGAGAAATAACTTGGTAATCTAATCCACTGATTGCGATGTTCCGAGAGCGTATTTAGGCAATTCTATCCTTATCTTAAAGCATCAATTCCCTGTCCAACAGAGAGTCAAAAATTTCTAATTCCATATCAGGATGCACATCCTCTTTGAAAGGTGCGAGTATATGGAATACAAACTCACCAGCAGCAATGCAGTTTTCTCCTTTGTTAAACAAACAAGCCATCATTCCCTGTTCCAGGAACACAAAAGAAAATTAACAAGGTATAGATAAATAGATTTGAAATAAAGTAGACTGAATCAGGTATCAAATAATTGCTTTGGACGCAAACTGTGGGTCTAAGTTTTGGAAGAAAATGGAACTTTAACTTCACTTTTATTTACACATGATAGAATGATAATAAATTATGAAAACGTGGAATATTTATTTACAAACAAAAAGAATAGACAGACAAAATATTAATAAATGATTAATATATAGAATTTTAGGATGGCTAAAGTAGCTAATGCTTTCTAGTTAGCCACCTAATGGGGAACAATTACAAGAGTCCTTCACTTAACCATGAAAAGGAAAACAAAAGGGGAGACCAAAAACAAATAAAAAGCAAGAGCATAGTGAAGTGAATAGACTCAATTTATCAATCCTTATCAACTGACCTGTCTAACAGCCCTGTCCATATCACAGTCACTGAAGATGATCAAAGGAGATTTGCCTCCCAGCTCAAGAGAACACTTCTTCAGATTACTGGTTGCACAGCTGTACAAAAAGAAAAGAATTCTTTGTTGTTGCTTTCCATTTTGTAAGATACTGTTCATAACAATAATTTATAGGGGTGTTGTGTGGTGAAACAAGTTAGAGGGGTCACATGGTGGTGTACGCTGCTAGTGCGTTGTCTTTCACTGCTGTAACTCCAATGGGTTGGGTTGATGGATTGAGCCCTGTGAATGCCAGATGTGAATTTAGTTTGTTAGATGCATTGTTCTCTCCCTCACCATTAAGGTTTTTCTTTAATTTCTCCAGTTTTTCTCTATCCATATAAATCAACATGTGAGCTGTGCATTGTGTGCATAAAATAGTAAAATTATGTAGTGGTGGTGGCATGTCCGACAAAAATGCTAAAATATTCAGCCTGCTCTGACAAAATTAATAAGAGATTATCGTTATAAAGAACATTATTTGAATACTTTAAAAGTTTCTAGTTTCTATGTCAACCAACCTTTCCATAATTGCTTTACCAACAGGAGTTGATCCTGTGAAACCAACTTTACGCACATCTGGGTGATCACAGATACGATTACCAACCACAGATCCTGAGAACAGAGAGAGAGGAAGATGCTGGTTAACATGAAAAAAGTATTTAACTGGGGGACTAAACTATGCAACTGCTTTATTGGAGGGGCTTGGGGGGAGTTAAAGTACTCACAATATTACTTGGATGTTGGCGTGCTGATTATAACAGTAAATGTAAGCTTTTTTTTTCAAATTCTCAGTTTCTAATGATATGCTTCCTTTGTCATTTTCAGCTTCGAACCACAAGGAGCTAATCTTGGATTGGAAGGCTAATATCTCAGAAATTGCTTCTAGTCAGACATAGTCTATACAATAAATCTACCCCTTAATCTCATATCGAATAGAAATTTAAGCAAAATAATTCGAAAATGGCAGCAAAATTATTGGTGAGGCTATTAATAGAAAACAGTAGTACAATACTAATGGCCCTGTTATACATTGAATCGTTTAGCTAAAACTTGTATGCAAGGTGTTACATGATACAATTTTATTCTGAAACTTGTTTGTGACACAAGTTTCAGTTTTAAGAGTAGAAAGCAGTTCTGCTTTTTGTGAAACTTCTTCTTGATGAAAGTTTCACCAAACGTAAATTGCACTGTGTAACACCCCTCTTGAAACTTGTCTTGCAATGCTGTTGCACACAAGTTTCAGCTAAGAGTTTCAAAGTATAACAGGGCCTTTAAAGACTCACCAGAACCAGGAACAATATTAATGACTCCTCTGGGGAAACCAGCTTTTGCAGCCAGTTCTGCAAACTTCAATGCTGTCATTGAGGTGACCTGAAAGTATAGATTATCATTATCATTGATTGAATCTAAAGTCTGGATAGGGGATGCTGATTGAGCTTTTTATTAGTGACCCAATGCACTGTTTTCCATTATCAGACCACATGTCATTCCCTAGAGCATCATTGCTTTGTTTAATCATCATTAATTAGTTTAATGACTACTCATGAGATGACACATGAATACCTCAACACATGAATAAGGATTCAACTCAAACAAAGAATATTATTCACAAGAGAATGATACATGTCAGATCTGAAATAGGAAATTTTAAGCCTAGGATTGGGATTGAGTTTCACAGAAGATTTAGCTTAAGGCTGATAATATGCTTCATTTAACTGATTGATAGCAAACAATACCTGTGCTGGCTTGAGGACAACTGTGTTACCAGCAGCAAGAAGAGGACTCATCTTCCAGGCCAACATCATCAATGGATAGTTCCAAGGCACAATGAGACCACACACTCTGGAGATTGAACAAGATAATACAGTCAAAGGACATACTCATCATCTTCATGCTTGTAATATTAAAAATGTAAGCCATTTTCTATAAAATTACAGCACGTTTCTTAATGTTTCTGTGCCCTAACTGACTCCAGCGGCCTCAGGTGCTCTGGCTTCTGTCAATCAAACTTTAATGACTGGCCGAGTTCATTCTGGTCTTGGGCTAGTGAGAAATTCCAACAACATAACATAATGTATTTTCATGTTACTATAAAGTAAAACATAGCTATGTTCAAATGTGATGATCAACAGTAACTGTAAATAGTTCTTCCTGATTTGGATGAAGCTTAACAAATTTTTAACCCTTAACATCAGGTATGATAGAAACAAACTTTAACATATTTACTTTTCCATTCTTTTTAGTGGCTGCATCTTAGTTTAGTTAGTGCATTTTAGTTTGCAAAAAATAGATACTTCTTGCTGAATAAAATTTATTGCAATGATTTACTGCTAAGAATGTAAGCCAATTAGTAAGAAAAACCAGCAGAATATAAGGGAACCTCTATATGTTTCTTCCTCTAAAGAGAGAGGGCTTATTAGAGGAGGGGAGGAGGAAGCTCAATAGAAGGTTACGGTATGCAAACACCACAGGACAGTACAGCATAGGAAGCAACTCCATTTAAGTAAAATAAAAAACAGCTTTACTCTACCTTAAGATCTATTTTATTTTCTTCCTTTTTTATCAGAGCACAGCTGTGCCTGATTGGTGAAGGAAGCCAACCATGCCTTCAGATGTTTGTACAGCAATGTACAGTCCTTTTTTTTCTTAATACATGTATTAAACATGGCATGGTGAAGGATGCAACCATGACTTCAGTAAGTAATCACCAGAGACTACAAGAGGTTCCGGCTGATGAAGATCAATTGTTAGGGAAATGTATCAGTACTTGGTTGGTTGAAAAAAACTGATGGCTTACATTATGATTTAACTTAAGTTAGTGGTTAGGCTTACAAAGTTGTGTAGTTTTTTGAGTTACATTGTAGGTTAAATTTTAAATTTTACACATTTTCTGTATTACTTTAAGCAAGAGTAATAGGGAAAAGTACAGAGACACATTGAAAAGAATATGGATGTTCTTTCTGTGAAGGAATCAGTGAATGGATGTATGAATGGCTGGCAGAATGGAAGGATGGATGGATGGATGGGATGAATGGATAGGATGGATGGATGGATG